CGGATCAGCGTTTCATTCGGAGTTGTGGGAAGAATGGGAGGCATTACTCGGGCGAGTTGTTCAGCCACCAGCCGGGTCGGGCCGCTGTATTTTGGCGCTTTATAAATACTCGGGTTTTGCCCGTCTGGTACATTTCTTATACAGTAGATACTCTGGTATACAGTTCAAACCCATCATTTACGAGAAATGGCACCGATTCAGAAGATTATTGTGGTTGGAGCCGGCCCGACGGGGCTTCTCCTGGCTCTTCTTTTGGCCAAAAAAGGCATCACCGTCGAGGTCGTCGAGGCGGAAGCCGAGGTGGACCAAAGGCCTCGAGGACTTGCATATGGTCCCTCAGCCACACGGTAACTACGCCCCCCCTGGTCCTGGACCAAATCACGGTTCGAATCGACGGCATGGCTGATGACCAGAAGAATTCTGCGCAGGGCCGGCGTTTTGGAAGAAATCCGAAACATTACTTCGGATATAACGTCCACGTCGTGGAGAAAACTGGGCGGAGAGATTCTCGTTCACATAGAAGGTGATGGTCAAAGTCCGGACAAGCCTCTGCTTTACCCAGTCCATTTGCTTTCTAATCTGCTCCTTGAACGCGTCTTGCAGCAGGAGACTGCATCTGTCCACATGTCCCACGCCGTCATCGACGTCGGCCAGTCGGATGATGCGGCCTGGGTTCGTGTCAAGTCGGGGGATGAAGTCAAACGCATCGAGGGGGATTTTGTCATTGGCTGTGACGGGGCCAAGAGTATCGTCAGAAAGTCGCTGTTTGGTGACGACTTCCCCGGATTCACCTGGGACAAGCAGCTCGTAGTCACCAATGTCAGACCAAACACCAGACCCCAGTCCCGTCGTTCATGACACCGGAACTAATGCACCTCGGCAGGTCCACTATAAAATGGCAAACTTCAACTGGTCCGATGTCCAGTGGGTAGTCGACCCTCAGTATTGGGCCATGGTATGCTGTATATCCAGAGCCGAAGACACGGAGCTGTGGAGGGTTGTGTATGGTGAACCAATCGGCTTGTCTCCAGAACAACTCCGAGCCCGTCTGCCCGAGAAGTTTGAAAAGATCCTGCCGGGGCATCCAAAGCCCGACGACTACGAAATCGTCCGATTCAGCCCATTCACGGTTCACCAGCGATGCGTTGAGAAGATGAGAGTCGGCAGAGTGCTTCTCGTGGGAGACGCTGCCCACCTTTGCAATCCAATGTCGGTATCATGGACCTTTGGTGAAAGTCCGGGACGCTAATCGATTGTAGGGGTGGACTTGGCCTGACGGGCGGAATATCGGATGTTGGATCGCTGGCCGAATGCTTGTACGGGATCCATGAAGGCAAGGCAAACATGGACATACTCGACAAGTATGACGAGGCCCGACGCCAAGTCTTTCGGGATATAGTCGACCCTGTCTCTTCTGCCAATCTTAGGCGCATATGGAATGAGCCGGAATCTATACGATGGACGGATCCATTCTTCAACAAGGCAAGACGAGCAGCAACAGAGCCCGAGATTCTCGAAGAGATGAAGCTGGTAGGTAACCCGGCCCCTTTTTTGGTCTCTTTGCTGCTAATGACTTGGATAGATGAACATCAATTGTGACATGACACAGCATTACAATGAGAAGGCTTCACTGGATGGAAATAGTGCTGGCGCAGCCTTGTAAATGGAAAACCCACTAGCTTATACTGTCATGGAAGGGCATGGGAAATAGCATTAGTATGATCTCGGGTTGATGTAGCTAAGAACATTCAATTGAACAATCTCCACTCATCCCGCTGTACAGGGTTCATGGATGCAAACCTCCAGATTGATAAGATGTTCCCGAAATTCCGAGGGATTTGATCGGCCCGAGTGACCGAAGACTTCTACGGCATATCCGGATTATTCTCACCACCCTCATAGCAATATAAACAAAAAAACACAAAAAGGCACAAAACCCATGGCATACTTTCACCATGTTTGCCAAACAATAGCAGTAGAGAAATCCACATTGAAAAGTTAACGAGATGAACTCGAAAATGCCAGCTGCAGACTCGCCTCCCTCCACAGAGTCCCCTCTCCGTCCAACCTCGCGCTTCATCACCACCAATCGTGACGGCAAGGCCGTATACTCCAAGACGCTCCCAGAGAGCCCGCCATCTGAGCTGTCATACGGTGGTTCGCGGATTGCTTTCTGCTACGGAACGAACCAAACGCCGCCCAACTTTGCTGGCGAGCGCGACATTGCCGCCTATCAAGACCAGATTGAGAATCCGCCCGGCATCATCATTCCCAACGGATGTGTCGCGAGACTCGTCGACTTTCCACCTGGATACACGTCACCCATGCATCGGACCATTAGCCTGAATTACAATTTTGTCATTGAGGGCGAAGTCGAGTTGATTCTCGACTCGGGAGAAACCAGACGGCTCCTGCCGGGGGACATGGCCGTGCAGAGGGCCGTCAATCACGCTTGGAGGAATATGAGTTTGACGAGTTGGGCGCGCATCACTGCCTTTGCTGTGCCGGCGATTGCTGAGGATGGCGCGGCGGAGACGTGGGATGAAACCTGGGCTGGAGCGGGTGAAGGGACATCTGGGAAAGCCTAGTCTTGGTCTGAGGGTTCCGTGACTTTTTTGCTCGATATGCACTTCGATAAGTTTAATTCAATTGCCGCTTCTTCTAGGGGAACTTTACAGATTCGCTGTAGAATCTGACGGGATTATATTGAATTAAACTTGGATGTTTTGAGGACAAAAATTATGTTGGCAGATAATTATCCCTAGAATAAATGAGAGAAAAGAGTAAAACTTTTTTCTTCTCGTGAGCAAAGTAATGCTTGAGTGAAGCTACACCAAAGGACCGCGGGTGGGTGATGCCGCAAAAAACATCAAAAAAAACATACAACACTAGGTATTCGCTGGTCGTCACCGACCCAACTACTAATCTAGCGCTCGCTAGTTTATCGTACGAGATCGGACGGGATCGTGATTTGATGATCTAGCGGCTATGGTCGTATGTGATGGTAAATGTCATTAATTTTATTTATACTCTGAGCATAAAGGGATCGATCACATGAGTTACATGAAGGGATAGTTAGAATCAACGGTATTGTCAAAGTAATGCCAAGCAATACTTTAATTGAAGCGTCCCTAACGGTATTTTTCCAATAATAACATGCCCCGCCCTGCGTTTAACGGCAACGTAATTGTGTAATACTTGAACGATCTGTTTCGTTTTCGAAACGGACTTTCTAACACGGATAGCCCTTAACAGGCAAATCAACAATCTTGTAGTGCTCGCAAGAAATCCGAAGATGGTGGTGTGTCGCCAAAGGCTAAACCAGTGCTTACTTCAGCGACATGCTAAGGAGCGTTGCCAACGCGGGCCATCTAGTTTGTGTACCTTTAAGAAACAAGTGCGCCGTTGAGAGTGGTCGAGCGATAACCACGTGGTTCACCGTGGTTGGAGTTTCGGGTCCGTCAGTTCTCCCAATTCTTTACCAATGACTTGATGGGGTAACCTGGTGGAGAAAGAAGCAGGATTAGATGACGTCTCGTCTCTTTTTAGAAGGCGCGTCGCTAAACATGGCATGATTTTCGATGAACCCGGTTGTATGCTGTGGTGATATCAACCATCACAATTCGACCGGGTTGTCGATTAGTTTCCGTTGATCTGATAGGAGATAATAGCCGAGTGGCTGGCATTTCGGGTCTTCGGCGTTTCAATCAACCTCCGAATCCATCGGGTTTAGTGTTGATAATTATGGTCCCCGGGATGGCATGATACGAGCGTTGGACCCTTGGACCCTTGATTTCATCTGGTTTCCCGATTGCCTGGAGTTGCCGTAGTGGAGTCTCTTTCGGCCCTTTCGTGCGGCATTTGACATGGACTCGGGTAGTGCTTGGCCTTATCTCGGCCGTCTCATGCTACGGTATGCTTATACGATATGTTGTCCGGCTTATGTCACAACATTGCTAAGCATGACAAGAAGTCGCGCCGTTACAAGAGAGACGGCGACCCAGGAACGGGCGAAGTGTTGATTGATGGGTTAAGGGGTACCTTTTCTACGATACGCGATACATTTCTCCAGCCATGTGTTGTAGTTTATTTGCCTTCCCCTGGGCCGTAGTGTTGTGAAAGTTTAACAACCATCTTGACCAGACACTAGTACATTGAGAGTGCTTATGAAATCATATCGTCATGGCATCTGGTGGTCTTTTCAGATATCCTTATCAAGGGATTGAACCACCATTCTCCAAGCGTAGCTCCACGGGAAAGATTTGATCATGTTGAAGTGACTTGGTTAGAGTTTCTACAAAGTATATCATGTGCTAGTAGAAATCGGTATGAAAGCAAAATCATAGCTCTTGGGCCCATCGGCCAAGTGTACATTTGACGCAACGAGACCAACACCCCGAGATGACTTGGTGTACATGAGATTCGCTTATAATAACAAGGTTCATAAGAAAATCGCTGAGCGCTCTTATGCAAAGTATTTCCGAGCTTAACCAGGAACATGACCACTCTATAACGCCTTGGAAACGGCCACTTTCCCCTTCAACACATTCGTGTTCCTTCCTCGTTATACTCCAACAAATGGCAGCATTGTTTCCAGGATAAACCACCTTCCGATTATCGCATATTTTGCGCATTTACTCGCTTCATACACAATCAGAAAACACCCCAGCACGGCAATATTCCAGCACAAACAGGAACAATAGGGGTATAAATGCTGCGGAGCCACGACTCAAATATCATCCCCAATACCCGGAAGCATAATCAGGGTGGCGATCAACTCAAC